AAGCGACGGATCCCATAATATTTCAAGAGTTGGGACTCGAGAGCAGTGGGAGAGCGAGGAAAGAACACGGACTGAAAGTGCTCTGAACACAGCTACACCCAGCACCAGTTACTGTTGGCTAAGGTACGTCAGCGGAAACGGGGAAAAAAAGCTGAAACTATTGGTGGGGACTGTCCCCTCCATGCCAAAGTTGGTGGGGACATGTCCACACCAGTCCTTCGTAAAGTTACGCCAGTGGTTTATGGGTTTACATGGACATTGTACGTAGTTTATGGCCTCACATGGGCATGTAGTTTCCATGTAGTTTATTGGTTTACATGTAGTTTATGGGTTCATATCGACATTGTATGTAGTTTATGGGTTCACATGGGAAGTGCATGTAGATTATGGGTTCAAGTAGGCATTGTATACAATGTATGGGTTCATATGAACTTTGTATGTAGTTTATAGGCTTCATTGGGAATTGTGAGTAGTTTGTAGGTTCAAATGGACACCGACTGAAGTTTATGGGCTTACATGGTCATGCATGTTTTCATGGCTTAACCTGTGTATTGCATGTAGTTTATGAGTTCAGATGGGCATTGCATAATTTATGGCTTCATATGGGCATTGTATGCAGTTTATATGTTCACACTTTCAGTTCATGTTTTATGGGTTCGCATGGGTGTTCCATGTAGTTTATGGTTTCCCATAGGCATTACATGATGTGTATGAGTTCACATGGACATTTTATGTAGCTGATAGGTTCACATGGGAATTAAATGTACTGTCTTTTATAGGTTCACATGGGCATTGTAAATAGTTTGTAGGTTCACATGGCCATTGCATGAAGTTTATGGACCTACATTGCATGTACTTTATGGGTTCACTTGTTCATTGCATGTTTCTTGGGTTTGCATGTGCATTGCATGTAGTTAACCAACCTATTCTCATTATGAGTTTGTATGAAATCGTACGAAAAGTTATGCACCGTAATTTCATACGTTTTGGACGTTTTTTTCGTCGTATGCGCATGCGCATCTTACGCACAATTCAAGAACATAGAATATAAATTACAATTAGCCCTAACCCTGACCCTAACCCTAACCCTAAGATATAAAACAGCAAGCAACGTAGTTAGAGACATGAATAAGTGATTATTGCCCTGTTTTTCCCAGTTTTACGTCCGTCCGCGGATCTGGTTTTTTTTTCTGTCTGCCAGCGCATGCGCACTGATGTGGTTTTTTGAGGAAAAACGTCCAAAGCGTACGAAATAGTGTGCATAACTTTTCGTACGATTTCATACGAACTGACAATGAGAATATGTTGAGTTAACAGGTTCAGATGGGCATTGCACACTTTATGGGTGCATATTGGCATTTTGTGTTTTATGGCTACTGTATTTTACGGGTCAGATGGGCATTGCATATAGTTTGTAGGTTCACATGGGCTTTGTATGAAGTTTATGGGCTTACATGAGCATTGCATGACCTATATGAGCGTACATGGTCATTGCATGTTTCTTGGGTTCTAAATTGCATGTAGTTTATGGGTTTAGATGGGTGCTGCATGCTTCATGGGTTCATATGAGCATTGTGTGTAGTTTATGGGTTCACATTGTCATTTAATCCTGTTAAATCCCAAATAGAATTTAAAATTCTCCTTCTCACATATAAAGCCTTAAATGGCCAAGCTCCATCTTGTATCACAGATATTATTGTTCCTTATGTTTTAAGCATAGCCTTAAAAGTAATCAGGGTGTCTGCTTCATCGACTAAAACTGGTAGTTGGTTCCACAGTAGAGGAGCCTGGTAACTAAAAGATCTGCCTCCTATTCTACTTTTAGAAATTCTAGGAACCACTAGTAAACCTGCAGATTGAGAGCAAAGTGATCTGTTGGGTACATAAGGAACAATCAGAAATCTAATATAAGATGGGGCTTAGTTAGTTAGGACTCTATATGTAAGAAGAATGATTTTAGATTATGTTTTGGATTTAACAGGAAGACACTGAAGGGAAGTAAGACCATTGCATGTAGTTTATGGGGTCACATGGGTATCATGCAAAGTTTATGTGTGTCATATGCCTTCAAGCATAAGATTACCAGGACTAAAGTCCAGTGCCAGTGACATTAAGGGGCAGTATAGTGAAAATGAAATGTACAAAAACCCAGTTTTCATAACTTCTCCGGTTTTCTGTCAGACATACATTATGACATAATCCTGTTTGGCTGCTGACTGACACAAATGACCAGTGACATAAATGACCAGTGGCCACATAACATTTAATCTTTTGGTTTCATGTGAAAATTGCATGTTGTTTAATAGCTCCATGTGCATCACGTATAGGTTATGGGTTCAAATGAGCATAACATATCTGGGTTAACATGATCATTGCATGAAGCAATGGTTCACATGTATTTTATGGGTTTACATATGAATCATGCAAAGTTTATATGTTTTAACTGAGCATCAATTATTTTTGCAAAAACTCACAAAAAACAATGGTATATATTAATAAATTTTTTGCATGGTCATCATATTAAATTTTGGGGCTTCAAACTAGTATCTCATCTAACATCACTGCTTCACATGAGCATCTAATGCATTTTATGGTTTCATATGTGCGTTGCATGCAACATTTTCAGTTTTACTGGAAGATTATATTCCATTCTATTAATTCTAAATATGAATGAAAACACAGAGCTGATATTTACAAATTTTTTTTTATGACTTTTGATTTTTTTTTTCAGAATCCAGTTTACTGCCAAGAAGGTTTCCACTTGACTCTCTGCAGTCTGCCCTTGTCCTTAGGGTGGCACCAGTGTACCAGATGATGATAGAGGAGGTGAGGATGGATTCAATGATGGAGGAGTAGAAAGGCACCATCATTGTCCTAGACAGGTTGTATTTTTTTCAGCTAGACTTTCTTGGTGTGGGTAAACAATCATGTAGAAGACTTGTACCTATCTTTGAAGGAAATCAGTTTGGAAGAACTCTCTTAGCAGTCTCCACATAGTACAGGTTACATGTCTAATGCCATGAACACTTCTGTCTACCAAAGGTTTGTTAAAAGCTAATCGCTGGATTTGGTCATCTTTTCTGTACCAATATTTTGATGTTGTTGCAGGTGATTAAGTAATTAACAGCTACTTACCTCGTTTTTGTTGAAAAAGTTTCATTTAAATTTTGGTTTGAACTAATTTACTGTAGAAGAAATAAAATATGGACTTTTGTTGTTCCTGGAGGTCCTTGCTGCTTCGTTTCACTACAACTGAAATGAATGCCCATATATGGTCTTTATTTGCTCATGTTTAAAGAAGGTTGTTGTTGTTCTATGTGTAGGCTTAGGGAACCGAAAGGCATGTCAGCATTTCCTCTGTTTCCAGAGATAGCTGAGCTGTGTGTGGTGTTCTTCGTGCAGGCTATCCAAATGCGCTTAATGCTTCAGATACAAGCTCTTTTTAGAACATCTCAGATTATATTCACTTCATCAGATTGTGCTGATCCACATATTTGTCACATTAAACAGTCATTGTGGAGATCAGGTAAGTTGCATTGGATTGTTTGCGCCTGCTGACAGCATGTGTGCTTCTGAATTTGCTAAGAAACTATTACAGCTATTGACACCTTTCATCTGATTGTGAGGCGTAAAGTGCATGTGTAGATCAAGAATAGGAAGCATGAACTAAGTATTGACAGGGCGGGCTTAAAACATACTGAAAAATGATATTTTTAGAAACCCTTAAGCAATAATGAATGTTATTGTTATTCACACTGAACAATCCCTTTATTTCATGTCATTCAGTTTCATATTCCCAACTTGTCAGAATTCATAGATTTTTTTCTATTACTTTCAGCTTATTTTTAAGTATTTGCTCATTTCAATTTCAGATAATTTACCACAAATGATCTTATAACTGTGTTCAAATGAAAATAACCACACTGTCCACGCGAGCAGAGCTGTGTGGCTTTATTATTTTTGATTGCAGAACACAAGGTGAATAGTTACAGTAACGTAATTTAAAACAGGCTTATTTTAGACAAAGTTGGTCGATCTTCAATGCTACTGATTAGTATCAAGGCTAGGTTCTAAGCAAATAAAATAAAACTAATTCACAATAAAAAAATTACCATTGAATTAGTTTTTCTATTGGGATGAGAAAAATAACAAAATACCCTAAGATTAGGCTAAACATTTTGAGCAAAATAACATAAACTAGAAGAGATCCTTTATATGATGTCCCTGTTTCTACTCCTTCTCTGCCAAACAAGTTTTTGATTCTTCTTCTTCTTATGAGATTTTATGGTGGTTGGCAAACTTGTGAAATGTGCATTACCGCCACCAACTGATATGGAGTAAAGCAAGAAAACAGGAAACGATTCACCCCCCCCCCCAAAAAAAAAAAAAAAAAAAAAAAAAAAAAAAAAAAAAAAAAAAAAAAAACCTGTGTAACTTAAACCAACATAATACTAAATCACATTTGCCCATATAATTTTAATTTAACTCTAGGTCATCGTAACTCTGCCAGTTTCTGATGGTCCCATCGGTCCTCCCATCATGCTTCCAACCATCTCCCAGTTCAAATCTTTTACGTCTAGATATTTTCAAGTTTTTGATTACAGATCTGCATAACTTTTATGGTGCAGAAATCTGGTACATCATCACTTTTTTTTTCTAATAGAAAAGACACATTTACAACAATACTGCGTCTCAACAGGTGCATTTATTTATGATGTGGATTAATTATTTGGATTTTTCAAATTAAATAGAGCCCAATATTTAGCTGCGTATACAGATAACGGAATGTTTTTCTTTATTATACGCCTATTGAGCCACAAATTAATTTTGTTATATTTTTATTGTAGTTTTTTTGTGTACTTCTAACGAAAATGGAACTAAATATAGATTAAAATTTACACAATTGCTCGTGATTTTAATTTCTTTAATATTACATTTTCAGGGCGGAACCATATTTTTGTTAGATTTGTTTCTTCCGTCACCATATTGTGTCCCACATGTAGCGGAGGGAAGCGTTCCGTAGCCAACCAGTGACTTTACCCTCGAAGTTGACACGTAGACTTTGTCGTTGCATTTTGCAGCGCTTGTCTTGTTGAGCTTAAACTATGATTTTAAGTGTAAGGAAATATTTTTCGGGTCGGATAATAAAGACGTAGCAGGTAAGAGTTCCTGCGATCACATTCATTTTCCTCTCCAAGTTAGCTAGGCGGCTAGCCTATTAGCCTTAATCTTATAAGCTCAGTGTCACTTCATCCGAGTCTCCTAGCTATAGGAAAAGTCTTATTGGGTTTCTTGCATTTATTTATTTATTTTTAATTTGAACAACTATTGAACAAGCGCCACTCTTCAACAAAAACAGATACCAATCCTTTCAGAAATATTTTAGACAAACAACATCACAGCTTCAAGGCACATATTTATGTTTATATGTTATAACTTGTCAACCCGTTTGAAAATATCTGCCCCCTGTTAGACTATTATGATCCAGGAATATCCGATATTGGTTTATGTTTTATCAAAGAGCTTTTGTGCTGGAACCAGCAGAATTAAATCTAACAGGATTTTAAAAGACTATATTTATACTTTCCAGGGGTCTGTCACTATTTTCTTGATCACCTGAAAATTGTGACTTTGTTGAGAAACATCTATAGCTCACATTGCTAAAAAGCTTCTGAATTTCCTTTTTAATGTACGTGAGTAGAGAAAATAATCATTGTCCTTTTTTTTGTATTAGACCTGCTGATTGCTGAATCAATCAAGACAATCAGAATCATATCTCTCATAACCCAAGAAGCCATCTTTTTTTCCAGACACAAACTGTAATCCTAATTTTGATGTACTTTAAACATACAGACTTGGACCTAAAACACTATACGTGGTCTGTGCTACATCACATGATGATGGATTCCCTCTCTGCCACTCTGAGGTTCTTAAAAATGGAGGACCGACTGTAGGCCGTGCTAGGTTCTGTTGGTGATCTTTACCTCTTGGCTTCCTTTAGATAAACCTCACCAAGCTGGGCCTTCCCATTAATATTCTGGGTTCTGGCTTTTGCAAGGCGTTCCCCCTCATCAGTACAGTTGCCTGACCCCTGGGGTGACTGGGATCTGACCTTGACCTGCACTCCAGGACTATTTCTAGAGCTTGTTTAGTGAACCCCCCACCCACACCCAGCCTTAAGGTTGCTCCATAGGTGCTCTGCGGTAGGCATACTGCTGTGGAGGTGCCAGATGTCTCTCAATCTTTAAGGGCCCCAGATTACCTTTACTGTGCTGCTATTAGGTGTTCAATGTTGCAGGCTTTTTATCCTTCTGGTCACTTTAGCAACTTTTCACCTTAAGGTGACAAATTTCGCACTAAAAACACAACAACTATACACAAACTCTAAATAGCTTAAGGTGAGAAATACTTCCTTTTATTACTGATCCAGTCTGTGTACTTAAAGTTGTAATGTTATTTATTTATTTTTTTATAAGGTCAGTCGTATAATAATAAGGAAGCAATTTTACTATCCTTTTTATAGAGTAAAACTTCCCTGGTACTTTATCGCAATCAGCTACCATCTTTTTAAAAAGATCCATGTTGGTTGCAGTTCTGTTGCTGCAACTTGCAAGGTGCCTCTTCCTTTCCCTTCAGTGAGGGAATTTCCAGGTCGGTTCAAGGACGGGTCGAGACTTTTCGTCACAGTTCTCTGTTGCTATAAAGTCATAAAAATGGAATTAAACTCTAAATGTAATGGTACGCTATCAATTAAATGCCTTTGACGTGATGTTGGGATATGATATATGATCATGCGAGTTCTTAACACATTTAAAACATTTACATTTAAAATTTGAGTATTTTATCAGGATTTGATGTAATTTGTCAACAAAAGCTGTTCTCCATTGTGGATTAACAGCAAATTCTTACGAGAGTTTTTCTCTGCTCAGAATTAGAAAGAAATGTTTCAGGTCTGTATGTAAAAAGCTGTTTGGAGGGCGAATATTCCCTAAACACAGCATCCTGGTGTTAGGACCATATGTGGAGTTCTTTAAAAATAATTTTCAATAAGGGATTAAATGTCGTCCCAGAAAAAAAACAAGACTGGTTCAGAAGATTTTAGTTGATCCAATGCAAGACCTTAGTAACATCTGTTGACAGATGGGATTTATCGAACTGTTTTTGTTAAATGAGTGCCAATGTTTCAATGTGTGGATGTGCAATACCGGAAAAAAAAAACAATGTTTGCAGCTTTAACCACAGCAAAGGGTTATTCTAGTAAGAGGATGACTAGTGTGGTTCTAAATATAATTGTGCAGGAAGCATTTTAAGATTTTCACTTGGGGGGTGAATCGTTTATCTTCCTCTTCGTAGTAATGTGCTACTTTTCTGTTAGTTTAATACATTTCCAGCGCTCATTTAGTGAGTTTTAGTCAAAGCTAGTTTCAAGGCTACTTGCTGTTATCTAATCTCAGCCTTCTGTTGTGTTTTTGTTTGTTTTTACTGCAGGAACACCAGATTAAGTCTTGGGAACTCATGTTGTAGGACGCCAGCTGAGGGATGGCAGAAGAGCAGAGTCCCAGCAGGGCAGAAACGTTTGTTCTGGCTGGATCCAACGGTCACAATGGCCAGCAGTGGCACACCAACGTGTCCAACTCAAGGCCGCAGCACTCCACCACGGCTAACCGCGTGTCCAGGATGGCCCGCGTCGCCTCCGACGTCAGGCACAAGTGTGCGGCCTACGTTCTAGCGCTGAGGCCGTGGAGCTTCAGCGCCTCGCTCACACCCGTGGCCCTCGGGAGTGCTTTGGCGTACAAACTGGAAGGCTCCGTGGACCTCGTGGTCCTGATGGTGTGCGCCGTGGCTGTCCTCGTCGTCCACGGGGCAGGAAACCTCGTCAATACCTACTATGACTTCTCTAAGGGAATTGACCACAAGAAGAGCGATGATAGGACTCTAGTGGATGAAATTCTGGCGCCACAGGATGTTGTCATGTTTGGTGCTTTGCTGTACTCCTTGGGCTGCTTGTGCGCCACTCTGCTCTACTTCCTGTCGACGCTTAGATTGGAGCACCTCGCCCTTATTTACTTTGGCGGGCTTTCCAGCTCCTTTTTATACACCGGAGGTAAGAAGGTGAAATTCCTGTGTTCTGCTTTGCTTTGTTTCATTTTCATTTTAGTTTTGACAAAAAAAGCAAACATTAGGGAGCAGAAATGGACCAATCAGCTGGACGATGTTTTTGGACAATATGAGTTAGCTATACCATATAACCTTTGTTTAATAAAATAAAAACAGGAATGTAAAAAAATATCCTCCTTTTTTTTCTGTACACCTCTCCCTGTGAGCTTTGGAGAATTTTTAACCGCTGCTACCATCCTGCACTGGAAAAAATCAAAATCTAGATAAGTCTTTTTTTTTATTAAAATAAGTGCATTTGTTCTTGGATAGAGGAGGTAAAAGAGACATTTTGCCAATGGAACAAGACAATTTATATTTAAAATATAGTTTGTACGCCATCCAGTGTGATGGCCTACACTGGAAAAACAATCTAGAAAAAAGTAAAAATATTTTAAGTTAAGTGTATTTCCCCTTAATTTGAGTAGGTTTGCCAAAGAATTATTATTTCTCTTAAAATAAGAAAATTAGATAAAATGCACTTGAAATAAGACAATGAAATTGTGTTTTTTTTATTTTAAGTGTAAATTGTCTTGTTCCATTGGCGAAATGCCTCTTTTAGCTCCTCAATCCAAGAACAAATGCACTTTATTCAAGAAAAAATGAATGATCTAGATTTAGATTTTTTTCCAGTGTAAACAAACCTTTTTTGGTCAATCTGTTTAATCTGTTTTAAACTTTTAGCTCTGATTGGGAATCTAGACTAGAGGTAAAAATATTCAGTTTGTCAGTAATCAAACATTGATTATTGCACTTGTAATAATTATGTTTTTTGGCTTTTTTTGAAGTTATTTTTTGTAATAGTTAAACGAAAGGAAAAAAAAAAGACTTGTTTTAAAAAAATAAACAAAAGTTGGAAAGATGCAGAAATTTAATTAATTTAATTCTCCACCGTCTTCCTTTTTATTTGCAATTTTTGCTCCAAGTAAAAAAACCTACATTTTGGAGAATTCATTTAGATTAGGGCAGCAAAAATAAATAAATAAATCTTGGTTTAAGTTTTAAACTGTTATTAACAAAAAGGAGCTTATTAAATATCTAAAGCATTCATCAGTGCTTTGATCCATGCAAAACTGGATTCTTCAAATTACAAAGATAGGATTATTATATTGTAAAGCTCCTGCTTTATTATGTGATGCAAATGATAACGTATTTGTTCTGTAATATAACGTCTAAGCATCACTATCATTTGCTACTTTGTTAAGGTTGGGAGTTTGAGTCCCTACATTTTATAACAGAGTATTGTTTATCGTTGGATGGGCTTTAAACATCCTGGCTCACTATAAGAAGGCGCTTCCTCATTTAGAATACAAACCAAACTAATCCCCTGGTACTGAAAGTATGCCTACTCTCCTTTCTTTATTTTTCCTCAGGTATCGGCCTGAAGTACGTGGCCCTGGGAGACATAGTGATCCTCATAACCTTCGGCCCCCTGGCAGTGATGTTCGCCCACGCCGTGCAGGTCGGCTACCTGTCGGTGCTGCCGCTGGTCTATGCCGTCCCGCTGGCCCTAAACACAGAAGCCATTCTCCACAGCAACAACACGAGAGACATGGACTCCGACAAGCAAGCTGGCATCGTCACCCTGGCCATCCTCATAGGCCCCACGCTGTCTTACGTCCTCTTCAACCTCCTGCTCTTTGTCCCATACGTTCTCTTTTGCATCCTCGCCACCCGTTACACCATCAGCATGGCTCTGCCTCTGCTCACGCTGCCAATGGCCTTCTCACTGGAAAAACAGTTCAGGAGTCGATGCTACGCCAAGATCCCTCAAAAAACTGCCAAGCTCAACCTCCTCATGGGACTCTTCTATGTTTTTGGGATCATTCTGGCTCCTCCTGGCAGCTTGCCGTTACTGTGATGCTTTAGATACATCAAAATATTTGTTTTATTACCGACTAGCTTATGGTACCTCTTTTTATTTGTAACAATCTATATAAAGGCTTGTGCTGGCTTTAATTTATTCTCTTAATTTATAAGCTGAAGGTTTTGTTGCAGTTTTAAACCATCTGCAACTTGTTAAAAATAAGACAAGTGTCCATCATGTTGAATGGGCCAAAGTTAGTGGAAACCTACTGCTGCCAGATTTGTAGTCCTTAAAGCCACCGTTCATAATCTCAGCATATGAAGCTTATTCTTCATCTTTAAGCTTTTTGGCTGTTTATGACTCCTACTTAATTTGGTCTTTGTGGTTTTTACTTTTTCAAGAGCCAAATAGTTTGAAATCATTGTAATAATAAAACTTACCCATGCTGATCTGCTGTGTCTCTTTTTTTTTTTTTGGTCACAGGATTGTGTCAACATTTCAGGGTCTTACTGATTCATTTATATTATTTCAGAATATCCAGTAGTAATATAAAAATGTCATAGATAAAATCTGGAATTTTGTTTCAAATAATCTTCCCTTCAGATTTCTTCTGTTTTTTGTTTTTTTTTGTTCTTTTCCCCCTTTGTTAAATCGGCTTATTTAGAATGATCAAAGTAGCAGCGGTGGGGGGGGGTAGTAAATAGCTAAATTTAATTCAGTAAATTTTTGTAAACAATTAGCTTTAAGGAATAGTTTACAGCATTGTACTTTTTACTTTAACCTGAGTAAAAATATAAAGTAGCACTACTTCTGGCTGCTCCCTCTATTGTGAATAACTTAAAGGTATAGCGGAAGATTTTTGTGAATTTTTGAAAAGAACCGCCCTCAACTTAAAAAAAAACAATTGCACATGCACAACCCTGTACCCACTCACTAGAGCGGGGGTGTCAAAGTGTTTCCAGAAAGGGCCGTGTGGCTGCAGGTCTTCTTTCCAACCAAGCAATAGCACACCAGACTCCAGTCATCTCATCAAGTCATGATGTTCCAATTGGACTCACTTGATGAGATGACTGGAGTCTAGTGTGCTATTGCTTGGAAAGAAGACCTGCAGCCACACGGCCCTTTCTGGAACCACTTTGACACCCGTGCCCTAAAGGGAACGTCTATTAAACTCGTGCGAGAGCGTCCATGAGCCCATTTCTCCTCGTGCATGCTCTGTTTCAAAGTTGCTGTCTGCATCGCTCATACAAGCTTCCTTTATAAAAGATTTGCAATTTTTCCACAATGTCAGACTCTGCACAGGTAAGTGAAAATGGGGACGAACACATAGGACGGCCTTACGTAAACATATTACCAGAATGAATGGCAATTAGGAGGACAATTATTTTGATGATCCACCCAGATAAAGAAAATCCTCCACTATACCTTTAATGTGCTCTTCAATTATAAGCTCTTTTCAGTGTCAAAGTCATGCTTAATATTTCTATTATGACCTCAGTTATTAAAATGATTCCTCATTTTATAAAAAGACAATACAAATGAACAACTACCGTGGCTCTCTGAGAAGAGATAAACACCCCGTTATCTGTATTGATCTACTGTTCCAACCTTGACAGAAACAGCTTCTAAAAAGTGTCTCTGTGAGGATTTTGGCCCTTCTTCTTTGCAATATTGTTGTAATTTAGCCATAACAGACCAATCTCAGACACTGACGGCTTTTTGGAGCTAAATATCAAAGAAATAAAGTACACTGCATTTATCTTTATTGAAAAATCATACATAACCTCTGCTCTGTCTGTAATACTACTTTCTCTCATTCATTATCTGGTTATAGAACTCTTACTACATTCTCATCAAGGCCTCTTCCTTAACAGTTCTTCTTCTATCCTGTATTTGTATTTTGGAAACCAGCAGAACTCCTCATAGAAGCTAAAATGTGTGAACTGGGGTGTCAGCAGCTGAGTCGAGGCCGACTGGCGTTCAAGGAGACATAGAAAAAGAAGCAGACACAAAAATATAAAAAAGTAATACGAATAAAACTGAATAAACATTTTCCTCAAAAACCAACCACACATTATATTCTTATATACACCTTATAATCAGATGATTATTATGAAATATAATTAACATTTAAGAGCAGCTAATTACCGATTTGAAAAGAAATTTGCTCTGCAGCCTTTAAAATGTCTTCCAATTGTTTCCTTCCGTAGTGAGAGGGCTTCTTCAGGGTCAGACCACCAGGCAGTCCGGAAGCATTTATCACAATGCTCTGGTTTTGAAGAGACTGGTAAGGTAGACGGCCTCTACCACCTGCTTCATCTGAAACCAGAAGTAAATGTTTTAAAAAGCTGCAAATAATAGACATAAGGGAGGGGCAGCCGAGTGGCTGATCACTACAGAGCTCAAGTTGTCCAGGATGATTATGTGCAGAGAAATACAGTAAAAAAATGTTTTAAAACATCAAATAGGTAAAGCCTAGTTTGGCCATAACTACACAGGATATCTTGTATTCTTACTGTATTTTTTGTTGAAGATCTCCTGCACTTTCTTAATGACATCATCAGCTGGATGTTTGGTAGGAGAAGCAAATGAAGACCTTCCTAAAAAACCAAATGCAAAAATAGGGAAATACTGTGAGCAGCAAGTTAATTGTGCCATTTGTTAGTTTTGAGGTATTTATGTCAGTTTGTGCAAACCTTTAAAATGCAAAGCAAAACTGCTGAGCGTGTCCTTGGAAGCCAAAAATGAGGCAGCTCCTTTGCTGCTTAACTCCCATACCTCCAAGTTAGGCTTCTGATGGTCGAACAGCAACACTGCCGTATCTACACCCAACATCTCAAGACTGGATACCTTAAGCAGTGTTCAGGATAAGGAAGCAATTAGAAACATTAGGAATACATAAACATACAAGTGCTGGGAGGAACTTATTGAAGTAGTTTTTTTGTTTTGTTTTTATTTTGATCCAGTAATTATGGAAGAGGATTAGGGCCACTGAAAAAATAAAAAAAAGTTAACTGATTTTTAATAAGTTTAATATGGGAAAAAGGTCAGAATTTTGAGATTAAAGTCAGAATTCTAAGAAAAAAAAAAACAGAACTCTGAGAAAGAAGTCAGAATTCTGAGATTAAAGTCAGAATTTTGAGATTAAAGTTAGAATTCTGAGAAAAAAGTCAGAATTTT